TTCAGCCTCCTGAGTAGCTGGGACTATGGGCATGTGTCACCACAGCTGGCTAATTTTTCTATTTTTTGTAGAGTTGAGGTTTCCCTGTATTGCCCAGGCTGGTTTCAAACTCCTGGCCTCAAGTGATCCTCCTGCCTTGGCCTCCCAAAGTGCTAGGATTTTAGGTGTTGAGCCACCTATCCCAGCCTCAACTTAGTTTTCTATTACTGTAGTATGCCTTAAGCTATTCAGACCCTCCCTCTCCCAGGCAGGCATTCATTATTTGGCAAAGTTTCAGCAGCCCTCCTTCCCCTTTTGTCAAATATTAGAATGTGGTACGGGGTTACAGGTAAAATATGCCGACAAAGACCTTAAGAGTAAATACAGACTTCCAGGCAGCCTACTGCTTAGAAATGTGCCACATTTGTGGGATTATATTATTGTTTTTTGTTTGTTTCATTTCCAGGAAGAGGAAGATCAAAATGTAGTGCCAGAAACTACCTCTGAAGGCTATACCTTCCAACTTCAGGATGGGAATCCCAGGACCTTTAACTTTTAGGTTGTACAGTCAAGGCATAAAGTTGTCGTGTACTGTTTGGTATAAGTTGGTCTTACTGTTTCTCTACTAAGAACTCTTTTTAAATGTGGTTTGTTATTGTAGCACTTTTTACGATGAATCTATACTTGAACAGTTCCAAACTGTACATACTGTATGAAGCCTGTCCTCTGAAGGGGGTTCTTATTTCTATGTGAAATTTCATATCTTGCAGTGTCCTGTAAATAAAGATTAAAGTCCACCCTTTTCTTTACTTCACCATCCCTATATGTTGCTTTCTAATTTGGGGCTCTTGATGTTGCAAGTGAAGGGTAACCAAACCACACTGATGTGGCCCGAGAGGTAGTCCTGGTTTTATTCATTTGATGTAAAGTTTGTGATGTCATCAAGGATGCAAAGGTGATGACTTTCCCTGCTTGATTCTGAGTCCTGGCTTTGGTGGATGCTGTGTTCCTTCTTGGTAATAATGGCTGTTGGCACATCTACACTTTACATTCTCTTCACTCCAGGCAGAAAAAGTTTCAGAAGTTTTCACAGAGGAATGAATAAAATTTCTCAGAAGCCCCCAGCCAATGTTCCCTTAAGTCTCACTGGCCAAGAAGATGGGCTAAAAATCTTAAATTTAGTCATGGGTCCTAGGGCTACAAGTGGAATTCATTCCTCCCAGACTTCAGGACTGAAGAGGTTCCAAGTCAATCCTGGCTGCACATTGGCATCGCCTGGGAAATTTTACCCAGAAGTTATGTTTAGTTTATGAGGGGCGAGGGTCCAAGTATTGTGTCGTCTTTTTTTTTTTTTCAAAATGTAACTCCCAAGTGCTCCTGTACAGTGCAGGTTGATAGCCACTACTCCAAGGAGTATCTGTGCTGTCACCAGCACGGGGAATGGATTCTCAGTAGAAACTGCAAAGTGTTAACTACAGCAATCCGTGAGTCAGGAAAAATGAAATGTATCTTGAAAGTACGGTGCTACAGTTTCTCCTCATTTGCTTAGTGGAGAAGTAATGAGCCAAACCACTGCTGAAATCTGACAGGTTTATCTGCCTTTTTTCCATAGAAGATAAAAAGCTATTGGTGGTAGAAGTGGGGGTGTGGGTGTAAAGTGATTTGTGACCTTAAAGGGCTACTGCACTCAGTAAAGTAAAACATTTTTTAAGTCAGTAGTAATATAATGCTAGAAAATTCCATTTGCCTTCCTGGCTACAAGGATTTTCTTTCCCCAGTTCATCAACGTGCACATAAATTCCCTTTTGCAGCTAACATTTGGGTTTTAAAGTTCTCTACAAAGCCACAAAACAATGTTTAATGCTTTTCTTGTTTGGGGCCGGAACTAGAGAAACGTTGGCAAATGCTTATTTGAGTCCTTCTACAGCCAAGTTCCTAAAATGGAATATGAAACCTCCATGTTACATGTCCTCGGAAGCATAGAACATTTTGTTTGGAACCCTGGATCAATTTCTCAGCTTTTCCTGTACAAAGGCTTCCATAAAGGAGAGGGGGAAGAGAATTAACAAAAACTGGCTCAACAGATGCCCTCCCTTTCCTGCCTACTTGTTCCTTTTCCTTTCCCCAACTTGAGTCCCTTCTTGGATACTGAATCCAAAAGTCTGCAGCAGGC